AGAATCAACCTTTTTGGGAGCAGAACCAAAACTATATTGGACTAAATATAGCACTAAATAAAGCATGTAGAATATTTCTCTAAATAAACCAAATGAGCTAAATATGAGTGGCATTTTCTAAAAAAACTAAATTGGAGCTGAAGAGCATCACAGTGTAGACGTCCTTGGTCTTAAATGAGTTTGCCTGCATGGGGGTGAATGGGATTACTTCAACATAAGGTTAATGAACTCAACCAACGTTTAATAAAGAGATGAAAACATGGCAATATAAGAATAACATGGTTCAATAAAACTATGAAAATATTCTGAATTATGAAAAATCTGAAAGTGTCTAAAAATTATTTGAAATTATAAACTGAAAAACTGGGAGCTGAAATGTAATTAAGCAGGTAGAGATCGCAATAATCATTCCAATAATATCGGTGTTGAGGTTTGACACAGTCTCCAGGCGCAGGTGTGGGCAGGGTGTGGGGCCCGGCTGAAAAGGGCGAGATGCCCTGGCCAGAGTAAGCTGAATAAACTGTAACTGTATGAAAACATACTTAGCTGAACATGTGTTGGGACCAGTTTAAAGTTTGGTTTTTATTTCTCTAGCTGAACCTCCTAAGACCCAAACTCTTCCACGGCAGCATTTTTGATTTCTCTTTGATATTTGGGCTGATTTGGACCCGATGAATGTAAAAGCAAAGAATGACCAGATTCTTTTTTACCTGATTTTTGTTTCTAAGAAAAATAAGAGCCACATATGAGGATATTTGTTTAAAATTTCGATAGAACAGTAGCAGGATAACGTCCTCGTAAGTGGATATCAGGCCCTTGTAGAGCAAAATTGAGTATTTTGGTCTAAATAACCCAAAATGTGATGTCCACATATGTGGACGCAGGTCCTAGGAGGTTAAAGTAATCTGAACTAGATAACTTTCAATGTTGAGTGTGTTTGATGAGGATTTTAAGCGTTCACCATTCATTTCAGTGTAAAACAAACAAACAAATATTTTAAAACATATAAAAGTTAAAGAAAACAGAAGTAATAGAATACTTGTCCACAAAAAGCTGAATGTGTTGATACCAAAATGGTTTCTGTTGCTCTTCCGTACATAACAACATTAATGCTTAATCAGCATTCACATTAATCAGCGTTCCAAAATTATGTTTTGAGATCTTTAGGTTTGCAAGAATCTTCTAACAGTGTCATTTCTCACTTGTGGAAATCCCACACAGAAGAGTTGAAGCTGCAATAGCTGCAAAGGTGGGCTCACATCATTTTAAACCCTGTGGATTAAGCATGAGATGGCGCTCAAGTTCACATGTTTATGAAAGTAAAGGAGCTTATACTTATGGCAGTAGAGTGTAATCCACTTATTGGACGCCCACAAACACCTGCTCACAGAAGGACTGATTAAGTATCATATCAGAATTTTCTGATCAACTTACATCCTGTTAATCAGATCACGGTAGAAGCTAAAATGCAGCAGAGGATTGGGAATCATCTTTATCTCATACAGCGACTGTGAATGTGTGGAAGCAGCCTAATGCTACAGTCCCACAGAAATACAAGCGAATACAAATATTTGGCTGCCAGCTGAGTGTTGCTCAGAGACATGTTGCCTTTAGTGACACATCGAGAGAGGTCCGGTGTGTCCTCGCTGTCTTTGAGGAAAAGCTCTTCTGCTTCTCTTTGATTACGTGGATCGGGTCTCTTCTCCTGTAAAGCTCAGGACCTTCTCTACATCTTCCATGGCCTCTGTTGCGCTGTTGTAAGTTACGGTGCCGTCACTGAGTTTTGCTGGTGGGGGGTCTGAAAGTGGCCTTTCTTTTCTGCTGAGCGTCAGTGGGGTTAGTCATGGTCAAAGTCAATTCTCACTCCTCTCAGAAAAAACTCTCAGAGCACCAGTTCTTTAACACTGTGCTGTAGAAAGTAAATTACTGTTGAGTGGGGCCTGCTTTCTGCGGTGGCTCTGTGACATCTTAAAGAAAACTCCCATTTAATAAAAGTTTCTAAAACCCCGTCAGGTTGTTCCGTTCAGTGTCTCCAGGCATTACACGAATATTGTTTCTACGTGATCGGGCTTTCAGCTCTGTCAGTTTCGTTTGTATATTTTCTTGAGCTTGAATAGCTTGAAGCAGAACATCTTCCTCCACCTCTCCTTTCTGCCCAATCCACTCTGATTGTCTGGCTCTTTAAGTGTTTGACAGTGGTGTTAAATATCTTTTGTGAAACATGTAAGATCTGTGGAGAAGGCATCACTTTTCAGGTCTGTTTTCATACCCAGCCTGGTAGCTTGTAGCTCTTCATGGACAGAGCCATAGCTAGCTTGCAGGCTATCCATATGGAATATCTGCGTGACAGATGTGGTCAGTTTGAAAAACAACCTGGAAGAGTTGTGGAACAGATAAAGATTAAGCCAATATTTCTAATAACAAGGGTCATGTTTTACAATATATTTAATTCTACCTGTCAAAAGTCCACATGGCAGTTTAAGTATTCACAAGTTAAAGTATTTATGTAACTTTTCTGATAAGACATGCATATTTATGCGTAGTGCTATGAGTGCCAGACTCTTAGTTGTAACACATCATTATTATGGTGTAGTTTTCACCTGAGAAAGGCATTAATCACCTCCTTATCTGCTTTGGGTTGACCGACTGGGCTTGGAAGACACGTTTACTCTGCTTATTCATAATTCCTTTAAACATGAGTACTGTGACCATTCTTACATTAAGCCAATATGAACATTTTCCTGCCTACATCTAGACTCTATATATATATAGTCTGATAACTAGATAGAGGGAATTACTGTAACCTAAATTGCACATTTGTTCTCTTATTTTGGCTGTTTGATGAATCAGAGCTGTTCAGGTGGTTGTACTGTTGGTTTCAGGGATGTTACTCTGGCTTCTAGTTGAATATCAAATCCTCCAGTGACTCACGCTGGATTTCTGATAAATTCGTTGCGGTCTGTGCGTCTGACCCCGTCTTGTATGGCACAACCCGTGACGGCCGTAAAAACCAAGCTGGTGGTTTGTGCAGAGTGAGAGACGGTCTGAGCCTGTGATCCTGGCTCAGGGTTAATGAACCCTAACTTACAGATAACTCTCTGCACACATTCAAATCACCGATTGATCACAAATCTGTCATGTTAGAAGTTTAGGGAAAGTCACATCGTTTTGTCTTATAATGACTCACAAGACAAGACTCACGAGTCATTAATATATATCATTTATTTACACGTTCACAAATCTGATGACAGCAGCTTTCTGCATACACATTTACAAATCTTATTACACACACAGATTTGAATAAGCAGAAACAACTCGGTGCACACGCACAACTCCCCACACAGACTGAAATACACATGTGCATTGAAATATACACATAAATTGTTTTGCTACTATAAAAGCTACCATAACAGTTGTGCTCGTATTTGTACTCTAGTGGACTCAGCCATAAGTAACTCCAGGCAGTTGACATTGTTACAGTATATCAGTTTTGAAATAGTAGCCCTACCATACGCTGACAGACCGAAGGCCTTTTAGATTACTGCATGCTGTGTGACATTTGCTTATTTCTGCATTTATTCTTTACATAACCTTCAGATATCAGCCCAGAGGAGCGCGCACACAACGTGGGGCGAATCCTGCGTAAGGAGGCAGACGATATGATGAACAAATGGGACCAGCTCAACACTGACTCAGATGACTGGCAGAGGAGATTAGAGTTGGCCCTTGACCAACTGATGGAGCTGGAGAAGGCGGAGGACCTGCTGGATGGAAAGCTGAGCCGGGCAGAAATGGTAAAGGATGCGTGGGAACCTGTAGAAGACCTCGTGATTGACTTGCTACCAGACCATATCGACAGAGTCAAGGTGAGAATCAGTGAGCCTCACTTTAGATATAGTATTCTGTTTCACACCCACAGACAGTGTAAAACATTAGTAAAACAAGCCAACAGTTTCCTTAAACGAGATAACAGGAAGAGATGTAATTAGGTTGGGAGTGCTTGTTACACCTTGTGAGATCCAAGGTTCAGCCCAGGCTATTTCCTTCTACATTACCCTCTGATGCTTTCGATTAGTGTTAATCATGAACATAACACTATGAGGATTTTTCCATTTTTGCTCTTGTTAAAAAATGTTCTCCCCAAATCTTAACAATCAAAGACAAAGAAGATAATCATTCTAATTGATAGGCATTAAAAACTTTTGGTTTGACTTTTTATACATTTTGCTGGATTTGTAAAGTAGGCTCATCCGGGACTTACTGTAGAGATAATTATTGATATCCTCCTGACTTAAATCGCCTTGAATCTTTACTGACTTGGAAAGGAAGATCAAGATCCCTTTTTTTTATATGAGTTTAGCTTAGAAAAATAATTAAAAGCTCCAGCCATCCATTCATTTTCCGACGCTTATCTGTGGCTGGACAATGAGGACAGCAGTTTAAGCAGAGAAGCCCACGCCCGCCTCTCACCTTGTTCAGCTCATCCAGGAAGATAGAGACATGTTCCCAGATCAGCGTAAAGCATGCCAGAGAGCCTCCTTCCAGTAGGACACGCCTGTAACACCTTATCATTGGGTCAGATACCCAACACCACCTCAAATGACTCCTTGCAATGTTGAGCTCCACTCTGTCTCTTCCAAATGACTCAACTCCTCACCCTTTCAAGAGTGCAGAGCCATCCTTCAGATGGCTAGACTGTTGGATGAGAGTAGGAGTCTTTCCCCTTATTCCCAAATTCAGCTTCCTATATGGATCTTTGAAATATTCCTTCCACTGCCCAACCAGCACTGAGGTCACCATGCCCACTGTACACAGTGTGAGTCGAGTACTGCTCACTTTCCCTGAGTCGCCTAACAGTTTGCCAGAATTGCTTTGAGGCTGACTAAAAAGCTGCATTCAGTTTGGCCTGCCACTACCTGCCATCTGCCTCCACAGTGCCCAGCTTAAATTGTATAAATGGAATCTGTCAACTCTTTGTCTCACTTAAGCCTATCAGTCCTATCCATTCCCTGCTTTACACAAGTAGCAAACTGGGTTTACATGGCAGATGCATTAGTTTACCGCCTGCCTGATACCTCTCACCTAGGTCAAGTCCAGATCGCAATGCATTGAGGAAACTATAGCTAATATAACTATAACAAATATCTGGCAAAGTAAGTCAGAGGTGAGTTACTGCCAGAAAATGTGCTCCACATTATTTCTATCAACCTGAGTCCATCGTCGATTTCCATGTCCTACATTAAAGAATCAACAAACTGGGTTTTATGTGACAGCTGTATTAGTTTCTCACTGTCACGTGTAAAGGTTTTGGTGTGTTTATTTCAATGCATATATGTCGTATGTGCTTATGTTGCAGGAGTTTCAGGAAGAAATTGCACAGATTAAGGACGATGTGACGCATGTGAACGAATTAGCATCCACTTTCAATCTGCCTGATATCCAGTTATCATCCAGGAACCTGGAACGCATCGAAGATCTGAATACACGCTGGAGCTTGCTCCAGGTAAACACAAATGCACACACACACATACTTACACAAATGTGGAAGCAATAAAAATGAGATACACTCACGCCACGAGAAATATTGCAAATATCAAATGATAGTTTGTATCCAAATATCAAGTCGCATTTGACCAGTGATCTCACTTTTAAATTTGCCTTTTTTCAATTTGAACCAAAAATGTATTATATTTTTAAGGAAAGTATTATATATCACTACTGTACTAACCTGAGTATAATACGCTGAACTTATTCATGTCCCACTTGGCGAAAGTTTGGTTTCAGTTCACTCTGCCCAGACTGGGCTGCAGCTCAAGCCTGTTTCTTCAGCCATATCTATTAAGCCCAGTTTCTAGACATCACCTGAATGGTGATTTTGTGGCCAGTGGCAGAGACCCTTCAGTGGTTTGGCTGGGGGCTGGTGATGGCAGTGAAGACCCTCTGGTGGCATGGCTGATGATGGAGACAAAGGCCCTTGGGTGGCATGGTGGCAAGGACCCTCTGGATGCATTGCTAGTCTGATAATGTCAGCGCTGATTGGACAACTCGGGTATCAGTGGCAAGAACCGTCTTGTGGCTTGGCTGGAGACTAGTTTCGGTGGGGGTGATGGGATGTCTCTGGAGGCTGGTGACAAAATAGATGTGACCCTCAGCAGGCGACCAGCAGTGGAGACAGAGACCATCAGGATTGGGTGGCACTGGACCCTTGGACTATGACTTAAACTCACACATAGCCAGCGAAGGACGCATGGGCTCAGGTTAAGGCTCAGGGAGCTGCCATAAATCAACAACAGTCCTGGTTATGACAACACATATGGAGCTACATTATAGCTACAGATATTGCAATGCTGTTTAAACCAAAGCACCTCAGCCAGTTTTATTATCTAAGCTTCTGCAATGGAGTCTGATGTCTCACTCACATTTCTTCTTGTTGCATGTTGAAGCTCTGCTGAACCTTGTTAAGATCCAACCAAGCAAAATATGATTTTTTGCTATTTTTCAGGTGGTCTTAAACGTTTAAACGGGGCTGTATTATTCTATAAAGCTAGCATGCACATTATAACTATATACCCATAAACACTAGTCTATAACTAAACACCTAAAAGTAAAAAAAAATCAACTCAAAGCAGGAGAAAGAAAGCCACAAGTAATCCAAGCTAAAGCTTAAATTACAGTTATTGGCTGTCTGTTCCCCAGATTTTATCTGTGACTGGAAAATACTAACAGCAATATCATGTTTAGTTTTACTCTTCCACATAACTAAATGAAGCAGTGGCCTAATCCAGAGTAGGACGATCCATACGTGCCCTAGCTCTTTGCAGCAAGTAATTTATGTCTGTTAGCTGCTGTGGGAACTGATCTAAGGGTTAAGTCTGGGGCCAGCCTAACCCAAAATCTAGTTTAACATTGGTTTTCTGCATGTCCCCACTGGTATTAGTTGGTTAAACTGATTAAAATTACATTATTAATGATATTGATTCATATAGAGATTTTAATAGTAGAACAAATATACACACATGTTTGTTAATGTGTTTTTCTCCCCTCTCACAGATCTCCATCAACGAGCATCTCAAGCAGCTGACAGATGCTCATGGGGATTTTGGCCTTACACATGGTAACTATACTGCTTGTGTGTGTGTGTGTGTGTGTGTGTGTGTGTGTGTGTGTGTGTGTGTGTGTGTGTGCGTGTGTGTGTGTGCGTGTGTGTGTGTGAAAATAAAATGATTTGAACTAATGATGACAGCAGTGGCACAAAATAATCGATGGGGGTAACAAAGCTCTCCTTTGACTGGATCACTGTCTAGTTCTGTTCAACTTTTTGATTTCAGCTTCATCATGCGGTGCCAGCATGACCCAAGCTTGTGACGCAAGCTCTGTGCTCTCTGATGTCATTCAGTCATAACAGAAGTGCAAAGTGGCTAAAGAAAAGAAAACTTAAGATCTAATCAGAAGTATAAGAGAGTGTAGCGAGACGCATGTTGGAGTCTTCTTCATGAGTGAAGGAAGAGTGGAACACAAGATATTTATTATTTGTAATAAATGAGCTAAGAGAACAGAAGATGCTTCAAAAGTGCTTTTTTGATCATGTTGGAAGTCCAGCATTTCACTTGCAATTACCATTCTGTTACTTTAACATAATCTCAGGATTAACTAAGAAGACCTCAATGCAAGAATAACGGATCTTTAATATTTCCATGTACATGAAATGCACTCTATTACAGTACTCTATTAGACTAGCTCAACCAGATCATGAGCCAAAGTTCAGCCAGCAAGCTGATCTAATTATATCTACTGGCTACAAAAGCTATTAGCAGGCAGCAGTCGTTAGGTAGAAACAAAAAGGCAGTTTTTGTCACTGACTGGGTGATTTGGAGAGCAAAATGAGAAAAAATATAATGACAGCTGGCCGGCTGTAGGGATGGGAATCGAGAACCAGTTCTTGATAGTTCAATTCCTCTGTTAGTCTGCTTCCCTATCGATTCCACTTATCGGTTCCACTTGCAGTTGAGTTCCGTTTGTGATGTTGGAGAAGGGAAATAGTAGTGTGGTCTACATCGTGGATATGGACAATACTTTTTGTTTTGTTTTGCACAAAATAACTAGAGTGCGATGGTAAAGCGGAAACTGCATCCATAGCAGACACAACTGCATTATGCTGCTAACACAACTTTGGTTCTTTGCTAAGCTAGCCAAGAACCCAGAGTGATGTTAAAGCTATGTGAATGCTGACCCCAGCTCAACAGCAACATCCTGAACTTCAACAGGTAACAATCGGATGATCAATCAGGCTTCAGCCTCCGTTTCTACCTGTTTATGTCTCTATAGCAGAATCACTGTGGTCATTGCTTTAAAGTCTCTTTGTGCTGAATTTCATCTTTGCTTTGTGCCGTCGGCTTTGTGTTCATACCTGAATACTAAGCGAAAGATTATATGTGTGTCCTAATTAAGATAGAGATTTATGCTGGTGTATGGGACTGTAGCCTAGAGGTTTATATTTTTAACTGGTCATTATGAGACAATGCATTTCAGTTCTTTTTAACAAATTTCCCACGTGTGGGACTAATAAAGGTTATCTTATCTTATCTTATCTTATCTTATCTTATCTTTTTGCAGAGAAACAAAAAAGTAATGCAATTAGTAGCGTAATGAAATCATTTCTCCTGAGAGCAATTAAGAAATATGCAGATTTCTTTTAGGGAAGGTTCTCTGTGGATGTGTGATACATTACTTTTTTATCTCACGAAAGGGGAAATGCCTTAAACATGTACAAACATTGTCCCTCACAGCATGCACTTAACACAAATGTAATGTCTTTGATATCCTGCTTAGTGGTGATGGTGACTCTGACTCCTTGAGAACTAAGTGAGAATCGATAAGAGAATCGATAAGGTATTGAAGTGATAAGTGATCGATAATCTGAATCCTAAACTCTTATCAGTTCCCATACCGAGTAGGCTATCTTTCCAAATCTTAATCTGGACTAAAATGAAAATGGCTAGAGCCGGCCCTACTGTCTGAGCTATGGGGCTTATTTGGTCATATGCATAAGATCAGGCACTTTTTGTTTTTAATTACTTTCTTTGTTTGTTTTTTAATTGCTATTTGTTTCATGCGTTTCTGTCATTGCGCTAGTAGATGAAATATAAATGTGTAAGTGCTTAAAGTGACACTGTCAGCAAATTAACCGTGTTTTATAAAACTAAAACTCAAGTTTTCAGAAAGAATATCTAAAAATGTTCCTAATTAAATGTAAAACACACGCATTTCTGGAATGATTTTTTAATAGTTTTTCCACCTCTGTCCACTCTGAGTGACATGATAAAAAACAGAAAAATAAATTAAATGGAAATTTAAATTTAATTGATAGAAAGCAAAAATAATGTGCAAATAAAATATGACAATATCAAAGATAAAAACATTGTTACAACATGTAAAGGGCCGTGACATATAGCATTGAAACAAATCATTTAACAGTACTGCCTGAAAATCTTTGTGTCTGACCATTTTTTCATAATGTTTATTAATAATAATAATAATAATAATAATAATAATAATAATAATGGAAATAATAACAATGTCTCTTCACACCACTGGGAAATACATTTCATTACAGTAGATGTCTTTCTGGACGTTTCGTAACAAAGTTAGTTTTTTTTTTTTTTAAGTTCAAAGAACCCACAGAAGTAGGTACACAAACAGCCAGAGGCAGACAGAGAAAGGTCCAGGAGACAATAAAGATGAATATCCATTGACACGACACCCCCCCCAAGTGCAGATGAATGGATTCTCCCCAGAACCAAGAGCGACCCCCGACCCACCAGCCAGCTCCTGCCCCAGGAGGGTGCAGGAAACAGGGGTGTAGAAAGTCCATTTTAATTTCAAATGGTCTAATGTAATTAGAAGACAGTTTCTTTGATTCAGCATGGATGGGTAGAAATTGAGTGTACAGGCCAGGACGGTAGGCGGGTACTAGGATTCTGTTGCGATTGGTAAGACATTTATTTTACTCCTTGTTCCTTAGCAGGGTGGCTGCAGGACTTGGTCTGGGTGCAGACAGAGGACCCAGAAACATATTCAGTGACATGCATTGTAAGAGAAGGGCACCAGAACAGATGTTGCAGGAAGGTTTTGGCCGTGTGTGAAATACCTTAGACCAGGGGTCGACTGCGGCTCTGGAGCCACATGCGGCTCTTTAGTCCTT